TGGAAAAGCCATACAGAACCACGTATTCACTCTTTATGGGATTTTATTTTCCCCCCTTTATGTTCCAAATAAAGGTTAGCCATCCGTGTATGTTCTGGATTTAGGCCGTCTGTTGCCTTTGATTCTCAGCAGTGTCTGTGACTGCGATGGACTAGAGCAGGGGTCCGGCTGGAATCTAGCAAGCAGGCTGGCCAGAGAAGTGTAGGAAACCCAAAACTGAACGGCACATACTTTTTGTGCCTGCTTGCCCGCCAGGCTTTTCGCATGGCAGCAGTTATTGCCACCTTCATGTGGCTTTATTAAGGGGGTCGCAGGACTGGCGCCTTCACGCTGCTAAGGTCTGCTCACCCTCCTGGGCTTACCTGCATCAGTTAGCTCAGTGATTTTCTTTGGTTGCAAAGATAACCACTATCCACGCTTAAGCCTTTAGTTTTGCCCTTTCTACAGAAATCCAAGGTTGAGATCCCAGAGTGCAATGCAGACTCGTGTTTTTGAGTAGTCTGGATTTTATGCTGTGGTAAAAGTGCAGGTTTTTTCCACTGTTATTTGTTCATTAATTTGGATTTTATTTTCCTAGTAATTTAGTATGTCTGAAAGAACAGGCCCCAATTTTTTTTTCCAAGTACTTGCCAGGTATATGACTGCTGCACAACTAAAAGCTGCTTGTCACACTTTGATTTTATCCACACGGAAAATCTGTCTACTTTTGCACAAGCATTCAGATTAGGTTTTATACTCAAGTCTTAGGTAACTGCCTGGTCTAAAGCTGGTCTGAGACACACCAAGTGGCTGCATGTGTATTTGCTCTTTCTCTTGAATATTTTCGCACATTTCCAAAAAAAAAAAAAAAAAGTATTCCGCAAGTTGTCTTTAAAATTAGTTGTTTGGAATACATGTCAGTCTTGTTTGAGGGACAGTCTCTGAATTTTAACTTCTGAGTCTCGGATCTCATAGGCTAATCTCAAATTGCTCTTGAAGTATGTGAGAACTCTCTTTATTACAGCTCCGTGAAGCCTTCGTAGAAATGGCAAGTATATATTCATCTCCTGAAAGCTTGCGAAGAATTTGCTGTAGCTTATGATAGAGCTCCTCAGCCTTCAGGAATGTAAACTAGATTCAGTGACATTATAGATAGATGTTCAAAAGGGATTGGCACATGAACAGAATTGGGTTTTTAATGCCTTTTTTAACTTGTGCAATTGTACTGTTTTACTTGACTGAGCAAAATGATGGAATTTTTTTTTAAAAGCTAGATAAAATAGATTAAAACTTCTTTTTAAAAAATTATTTTGCAGTGAATGTCACTCGGTCTGCAGTGCCTTCACGTACTTTGCTCCACTGCTGTTCCTCCTGAGGTTTGGCTGTAGGCTCAAGAGCTGTGCTTTAGCAGCAGAAACCCTTGCTGCTCAGCCCCTCTCCTCATTCTCATTTTTATTTCGGTCTGCAGATAAAATGCTGGGCTGGACTCCTGCAATGTAACCAGCTGCCTTCCCTGGTTGCTGGCTGTCTAAACCAGCCTGGTCTGTACAGCAGGTTTTTGCTGAATATCAGTCTTGTAATGTCTGCCTTTGTAGCTTTGTCTTTTGCCATGTTGTCATAGGCATAGACTTGATGTCTCCTAGTCTCATCACATATTATGAAAAGGATGTATCGATTATGGGAGGGAGCATTGGATGAGACAACTTGCTGGCTGAGATTAATGCTCGAAGTGCAAGATCAGCACCCATGTTAGCCCTGGAGGAAAGAGCGTATTGTTTGTTTTGTCTGCTGTGTATCAATGATGGGACAGAGGTTTGAAGATTAAGAAATTACTTAAGACGATAAGGGCTTAAAACCGGTCGTATATAACAGCAATCAGGAAAGTAGTAAGAAGGGAGGGGGGAGAGCTTTACACTCATACATCACGTGCAGCTTTTTGAGGATGATTTCATAGGTAGAATTAATGCCTTGGAATAGTTACAGAATCACAGAATCATAAAATGTTTTGGGTTGGAAGGGACCCCTAGAGGCCGTCTAGTCCAACCCCCCCTCAGTGAGCCGGGACACTGCTAACTGGATCAGGTTGCTCAGAGCACCCTCCAACCTGGTCTTGAATGTTTCCAGGGATGGGGCCACCACCACCTCCCTGGGCAACCTGTGCCAGTGTTTCACCACCCCCATTGTAAAGAATTTCTTCCTTATATCCAGTCTAAATCTAGTCGGGATTGATGGCTTCGGAAGTCTTCAGTTCAAGCTCTTGTGAAGTTAATCCTGGTAGCATGCACTCTACTTCTTCGTTGCTCGTGTGGGGAAAGGGTTGTCCTGGGAGAAAGTAGGGGAAATAGCCTGTTAGTTTTGTGTTTGTAAAACATCTCCTCTGAAGCCCTGAGCCTGCCTCACAAAATCTGCTTGCCAGCCGGAAAGCAGGCAGCTGTTGGAAGGAGCAGGTCTCACTGGTGCAGAGCGGAGGGCTTTGTTAGTGGGTTCCCCCAGGGACAGTCTGTAACCAAAGCTTCTGTCTACTGTCTTTTCTGTTTAAAGAAAGGAAATTCCAGATGATGTTTGTATTTCCTGTATATTTATACTGATAAGTGCATTAATATTACGCCACTTGAATTAGTTTTTGAACAGGCTTTTTGTAACTTGGGGGGGGTCAGAAAAGAGGTTTCAACCTCTTAAACTTTTAGACCTTCCAAAGTAAGCAAAGATCATGAAGAAACGGAGATCTAGACTGTGACGGCAGTGACCAGAAGTACCAACTGAACGATGAGAAGTTCCAAGAAGAGAATTGTAATGTCAGAGGCAATCAACTGTTTTGACCAATGACTAAAATTAGTGTGGCTTTCAGCAAATAGGGTGTGTTTGCTATGGATTTTCAAGCATATTGATGTTAAAAGGGGAAAAAAAGCCACTCTTAGTATAACATTTTCTTTGTATAATTGTTATCACAAATGTACGGAAGTTGTTTTTCCTTTCTCAGATGTGGGATTTGAACCACTTTTAGTAATGGTTAAAAGAACAGGGCAAACACATCCCCTATGGTTTCACCTTTCAGCTGCTTCCTTGAGGCAGTGCATTTGCAGTATGTGGGTTTGCTAGGCAGGGATTTCAGTATGTGTGTGGACTGCTGTGTGGGCATTAGAGAAGGAGGTTGGAGAAATAGGCCTTGCACCTGGGTTGAGGTCTCTGGTGTGGCTGCTCTGCTGATTTGATTACCTTCAGGATCCCAACCCATTGCCTCATCTTGGGTCCTGAGGATACTTCATCTCCTCTACAGATTAATTTCATCCTGCTTATAAAAAAGTCTGCTGAGGTGGGAGCTTCAACTGCAGACTTTTCCTGGGCTCCAGGAAAGCTTTTTAGACAAATGCTTGACATCAGGTTTCGGTGCTGTGCTATGAAACCTTAGGATGAGTCCAAGACCTCTTGGTAGCTGGGTTGAAGCATAGGTCTGAGCAGTAGTGCCCAAAGCAAAGTAATGTCCAATGGTGAGAGAAGAGGGTTTGTGCACTGATGTCTTGTAAGAGGAGGGAACTTTCTCTAAAGGTTGGGTGTGAGGTTTTTTGTGCTTTTCACTAGGCATCTATAGAGATAAAAATGCACAGCAAAGTTGTGGGTGTAGTAACTTTTAACCAGAAGAGGCTGAATCGCAGCTACAAATCTTTGGACTGCTTCCCTCTTCCCACTCTCCTGATTGAATCTGTTATATGGAACATGCAGCGTGTAGGTTTTAACATCCCCAGCATTTGCTGAATCTGCTGGGCGTCTTTGCAGCCTGCAGAATCGGCTGCAGTGGCTGGACCAGCGAAGCCTGCCAGACCGCAAAGGCCATTACTCCGTGGTTGCTCCATCATCCTACACACAAAAAGGGGTGCCTTTGGGCACGTCTGCCCTGTGTGGTGTGGCACGCCGTGAGGCCATTGAGACAAGCAAGGTTCATTAGCCTCAGTACAGTACAGCCTTAAATATGTCAGTTATCTCAGGGTTTGGAAGGGAAATAATACCCCTACATGGTGTTGGCTGGTCTGTGGCTCCCGGGCACGGGGCTGCTCAGAGTGGGCTGGGGACACCTGAAGTCCCCTCGCGCAAGTGCAATGTAGGCACGTCCTGGGTTCGCTGTTCCCAGAGCCAGGTTGGGAGGGCTGGTTAGGTCGTGCTGCAGTCTGTCTCGATTCAGGGGAGTGACCAAATGTGCTTAACAGCAACTCTGCGCTCACTTTTGAGCATGGCTTTAGGTCTCTAATGGCAGGCATCCTGTTAAAAACCCAAGCTGTGTTTTCTTAAACATTTTATCCTTTAAATTGCATGTGCATTTTGGGTCACTTGAGCTTGCTTCCTTTCTGCTTGCTTGGATTTTTTTGTGCTTTCTTTTCCATCATGCTTGCTAGTCAGAGAAATAATTTAAATTTTCCGTGTGTGTATATATGCCCACTTTCGCTTTGATGCTTCTCTCCCACAGCCTTTTGCTGTGGGTGAGCGGAACTTACTCGGCAAAGAAAGCAAACGGAGAGAACAGCCCCATTGCCCCCCGCCCCTTGAAAGAGCAGAGGGCATGTGGAATAAATCAAAAACGCAAAGCATAATAACGAGGTCCCATGGGAAAAGGAGCCTTGCGATTGTGTGCCGGCGTGCACTCCCCTTAGAGACGGCGGCCAGGGGGCCCCCCCCACGGCGGCCGGGGGGCTCCTTTCTTTCTCGCTCGCATCTCCCCTCCCGATGTCGCCGATCCATTCACCGCCAGGAGAATTGATTAAAGGATGGCTATTTTATAGCTGGGGACCGCGGTGACGTATGGCTGAGCGCTCGCTGGCACCGCTCCTCGTGGACCAGTCAGGGGAGCGAAATTGAAGCTGACAAGACTTTTCTGGCGTTTTGGAAAGGACTGTAATCTACTGTAGGGGAGAACAGAGCCGCTCAATCACCGCCGCCGTAAATAGGAGACGGAAGGGAGTGAGAAAGGAGGCGAAGAGAAAAAGTGCTTGCTGGGGGGGGAGGGGGGGGGGGCATTTTTGGTGGATGGTATGAAGCCAGCCATGGAAACTGCAGCGGAGGAAAATGCAGAACAAAGCCAAGAGAAAAAAGGTACCCAGGGGTCTAACAATAGCCTGTTTAAATCTTTTCATTCAGGGGGCTTAAAGAGGTTTAGGCCAGTTTTGTCACTTTTTCGAATAGCTCTTAAACAATCATTACTGCATCTTCGGGCTTTCAGCCGTCCTTTCCTGCATGGCTTGACAACAAATTAATAGAGCACCAATCTTTCTGTCTGCGTCTGTATTTGCTCTGAATCTGTCCTAACCCTTCCAGAAATGATGTTTGCAAAAGAAGTCTTGTTACTGCTGCGTCTTTGACGGATTTTGGTAAATTTGGTTTACAGAGGTAGCGTGTGCCTGTCTGTTTGCGTGTCGTTTTCAGAGCCATAACCCGGTGTTTTCGTCGAGAGTAGCCATGTAGTGAGGCTTTGCAATGCAGCGTGGGAGACCTAGGTTATAATAACATGGAACAGATTATAATATCACGCAACCTTTGTGTAGTTAGCTTGGTGCCAAATGCTACTCTTAATTTTATATTCCTTTTCCTTTCCTGTGGTGTCGTCTGGCGAATGTTGCTTATGTAGAGATCTACCTGTGCTGTGAAAATGGGGGATAACGCTATGAGTTTCACAACATTAGGTTTCAGGGTGTGTTAATCACTGAGAATTGCTGCTTAACGGAGAGAGCAATTCCACAGTAGCGGTTCTGCAGCAGCGAGATGGCAGCGCAGGAGGAGAGGTGCTTCATCCATCCCAGCCTTACAGGTGATTTATTTGGTCTGGAGCGCTGAACTTCAGAGGGTAAATTCAACTGGCAAGGGGCTGGTTTGTTTCTGCATCATGTAATTCATGCCAAATAAATGTCTGTCTTCAGTGTAGCAGACTGCTGTACAAATCAGAGCAATATTTTTTTGCTGAGTGATACAGTAGTAACAAAATCATTAAAATTTCCACTACCTTTTTACATGAGTCATAGTATACTTCTGGACCTGCTGTGTGTCAGTGAAAGCAATCTGGGTATCTCGTAGGCATATGCAGCTGATACACAACTAATACATTTCCCCAAGTCAAATTGTTTAATTTATTGTTAAACAGTTCAGATGTGAACGTAAGGATAAATCCCGGTACTGTCCAGTACCAGATTTTGTTTTCCTACTTTGAATCTGATTCCTCCTACACGCTTTGTATAAGTCAAACCTAGCTTCAGTTTCAAGTAAATGAAATTTGTCCAGTGATTAGACGTAGTACTACATAATCCCTGGGGGATTTCGCAAAAGGAGGTCCGCTGATGAGAGATTAAACTCTGAAAGCCATTAGTGTATGTGGACAATAACCCACCTCACTGCAGATCTGGAGTAATTAATGTACAAAATGGCCTAAATACCTTGGCTATAAAACCATCTTGAACCCATAGATCGTTCAAAAATGACAGCAATTTTTGCTTCTGATTGATGAGTTTATTTTAAACTGATGGAACTCGTGTACAATAAACACCAAAGAAAGTTATCCGTATGCTTTAGCAGCTGTGCGAAACGAAATGTGTTGCTGAGTGTGTTTATGATGAGTTTATGGTTTCGCTTTTATTTTGGCAAGGATGAAAGCACAACATCTAGAACAGTAAATCTGCTACCAAGTCAAGGTGATTGATCTGTCGCTTTCCTAGGATGCGAGCAAGGGAACTTCCTATCTTAATTTACCACCATTTCCTAGTTTTTCTGTTATAATTTTATATTTTGGATCTGTTACATAGGTATGCGTATGTAACGCTTCAAGGCTTTGTTCTTGCCAGTCCCCTAATTTCTGAAAGTAACACATGGTCTCTCACATTACGCTCTTTATTTCTATTCAGTTAAATCCCCAGTATGTTTCACAGCAAATAAAAGCACAGAAAGCTGAAGCAGTCCTACTCCTAGTTTTGATAGCAAAATGAATAGCCCAGATGCCCCTGCAAAGTTACTGCCACGAAGCGGTGATATAGAAGGCGTATTTGGGTTTGGGGCGCAGATTTTTCCAAAGTGCTAAGACTGTCGAGCCCAGTCAGGTTTTTAGATGGGCTCAGCAGGCATCAGGTACCTCTGAAATGGCAGGATTTTTCAAAAGGGCTCTTTCGGCAGCAGCTCTCTCATGGAGAAAAATGAGCTTTTTCTCTGTGTGAAGAAACTTCCTGGAAAACACTGCCGCTTTGCTTTGGGGTATGAAATGGAAGCTGACCCCTTCAAAAATGTGTCCATTTACTGTCCAGACTCGATCTCCTGCCTGCTGCGCCTTACATGCTTGCCAGGCTTGCAATACTCGCTTCTTCCTCTTAAGATCCCACCTGGGCTTAGTGTAATGGCCGTCCCTTAGGAGATGCCCTGGATCCAGTGATTGCGAGGCAGCCACCACAGCTTGAAGCCATTTGAAGCGGCTGTCGCAAAGTCTTTTAACTCTTCCTTCCAGAAATGAATTGCAAAGTCCAAGGAGATAAACCAACGACAGAGGGGGCTTGGGGGATGTCGTAATTGCTAAGACTGAGCAAGAGAAGATCCTGAGCATGTCGCTTTGGGTAGTCAGGTTCACCCAGAGTATGCTTTGCACTGCCAAGTTCTGGGGAAAGTATCTGCATTTAACTCTTAGCAAATTGTACTTTTAAGCTAAAAGGTTTTTTTCCCTGTGCCAGAATTTTAAACTACAGTTTTCCGGGTTGTAATCTTTAATGCAAGGACCTCCTCAGTGATGTACTGTAATTGTATAGAATAAATACTTGGAGGAAGTTGGGCTAGGACTACTTGCTGTCTATATGCAGGGCTCCCCGTACTCGTGTGGAGAACGCCAGGGAGCAATACCGCCCGAGCTCTTGGGATGAGCAGCAAGCTCTGTTACCAGTTCGAGCACCTAACACAGTCAGATCTGAACCGTGGTGTTGCATAGGTACCGGTTTGTATTTCCCATCCCCGTGGCAAATGTGGATGGCCAGCTATTTTGGATTGCAGCGTAGTTGAGACAATTTACACAAGCTATCATGCTTTATGAATATTTACTGCTTGATAAATAAAAATGATTGATCTCATTTAGATTTTTTAAAGTTCGCTAAATTGTATATGAATTCCAGTTTTGTGTTTCAACAGTTATTTTCATGAATCCCCTGTCTGATTCAGGCAGTGATACTACCCAGCGGAGGGCTTCAGTGTTTATCAGACATGTGTTTCGCTGCACCCGGATGAGTGGCTGCTGCCCCAGTTTTTTTTAATTGGAAATGGGACTACACCCATGTTGATGGAGATAAGAAATAAGTCAGCTTTATACTGTGTATCAGCAGCCCTTATCAGAAAAGAACACCCTGAGCAAGCTGAAGCAGAATGTTTTAACAGATAGTTTACAGGGCTGCAGGACAGATTGGATGCATTTTAAAGATGAAGGTTTACAAATTATTACAAATGACAGGGTTTATCTTGCAGGCATTAAATTAAATCAAAACGTGAGGACTGGGCAGGCAGATTTGCTGAGGTGGAATAAATAAGAAAAATGAAATGCCGTTTTGCATCAGCAGTGAAGGATATAGATCCTGATACACATTAACAGGGGCAAGAAGTTTCCCTTCTCATTTAACTATGAGAAACACTACCATGTTGCAGAAGTCAAAAACCAGAACCAAATAAACCCAACTGTGGATGACCACGGTGAGTTCACCAATTGCACATCAGAGGATGGAAGAAAGCCGTTATACTAGGATATGGTTTCCTTGTATGAATGCATACAGTGTTCAAATTGCATGTGCTGGGCTGAGGAATAATGAAAAGCAGCCCGAGCAGCTGTACCCAAGGTTCCTCTTAATTGGCTCTTCCCTGCTAATGTACTCTCGATGAAAGACAACCTCGTGCTCAAGAATGGCTTTGAGCTTTGATTATGATTTTTATGGTATATGAAGTGACGTTTCCGATTTTAAACTCCAGATAAGACAAGTATGTGCTAGTAAAAAACAGAGAAAATACTTCTCTTAAACACAGCTGTACAACTGCGTGCGGTAGTGTACACGGAGCTGCTGAAGTGCAACGCGAGAAAGGAGTGAATGAAGGTGCAGTTTATTTCACTTTCAGTTAAGTTCTTTTTACGCAGTGAGCTTACGACGTTTTCATGCCTTGCATGTGGATGTCATTACAGCAAATTGACAAAAATTGTCTTTTATATACGTGTTATGGTTATTAGCCAAAATTTTCAAACTATTCCCTTAATGTTAGGCTCACATAGTGATTTCAGAGCTGTCAAGCCGTTTAAAGATTTTCAGTAGGCTACGTGTTTTTTCCTGTTTCAAGCAGTTTATTGGTGTTTCAGATCTCCTGAGAGCAACAACTGCTTTAAGTTCGTGAAGGATGTAATTGTAGGAAGAGAGGTCCAGCCCAGGGAGAATCTGGGACACGCGATATTCCGGGGATAATAATTTGGCAGGCTTAGTGATTTAGGTTTTAATGAATAGGATTTGGTTTCTAAATAGGAGGGGGTTGAAAAACGCTCGGAGAATGTACTCATACTGGTCTGAATGACCTCATGAAAGCAGAAAGCCTAGACATATGTGCCAGAGGATACTGTAACAGGGGGGAACAAACCCCAGATGGCACTGTACGTGCGCAATGGACTCTGCAGTGGGAGCAAAGGAGCTGAAGAGGGGTGGGGGGAGCACCCCTCGGTTACTCTGACCTTCCCCTGTTTTCTGGGAAGCCTTGTTCCTAGCACAGCATTCATCATCAGATCGCCAGATCGCAAATGACCAAACGACACCCCTCTCTTCGATCCCGTGGACTGCGTTGTCAGCCGCGACAGATGAACGTCGTACCTGGTCGTTTCCTCTAAAACCGTATGCCAAAAGCAGCAAGCGAGAGGGATTGTTGGGCACTGGGAATTTTATTACAGACGTGCAAGGTGACTCATCCCAAATGAATATTGAATCACACCGTGGTTGCCATCAGTGTGCCTGTGTGGTGTGACAGGAAAATATTGCCAGTCCTGTAGCCGCTGCGTCTGTGCAGGACCGAGCACACCCTGGTTCAGAGGGGAGGCCCCGAGCCGTGGGAGCTTGGCTGGGCGTGGAGAGTCTTGTAACCTAGACCTGGCAATGCAACTGGTGTAGTTAGTTCCTCAAAAAGCAAGAGAGAAAGAAGTCACTTAAACCTGTTCCCTTTCCTAACTATTTGGGGGACAGAGTTAAAGTCTAATTCGTACGTGCTGTGCGCAGCAGTTGTCATGCCACTGAAGCCTGTGGGGCTTTTGACCCCGTGGTGATTTTGCATGAGTGGGCCTGGGTGGGTCCCAGTGCAGCCACCAAAAAGCGCTCTTCACCTTCAGAGGTCGTGCCAGGCGTGCGGTAAGGGCTGCCAAACAGCCATTGCAAAGCGGCTCTTTGCAGAGCAGTGGAAAAACTGAGATTCCTTATGGAGCTTGAACTGTCTCCTAATGAAGGGAGCCCTGTTACTGCAAAACCAGAAATTTCTAATTTAAAAAACCCAACTCCACAGAAATCATGCTACAAAGTTTCCACGCTGTCTCCACGTTTCAGGGTTTGGAAGTTTGTCCCACAGCAGACAGTGGTGGCTTCACTGGCATCCCCTCGGGCTAAGGGAGAAAGGCAGCTGCCTGCTCTGCTGCTCTGAGCAAGGGGGTTTTGTCACCGCTGCAGGAGAAATCTCAAACGCTGGGTTCAGGCCTGGTAGGATAAAATCCTTTTAGTGCCAAGGGTTTGGTCTAGATGATACTGCAATGCAAGTGAAGAATTTTTTTCTTCGCACGAGTCTTTGCAGCTGATTATTTTCAATTAAAAAAAAACCCCAAAACTGAATCTCTTACTGATGTTCAGTAAGTAGCTTCAAAAAGCCAGGGAGCAAACAGTTGGGAGGGAGAGGGGGTACATTATGCAGTACTAGTGAGCAATTCTGTTGTTTTCTGGTTTGTATGAAATTGAATTATTATGGCGTTTCTTGTGATCTTGTAAACCGGAGTGTTCCTGTGTAAGCAGAAGGAGATGATACCATCCTGAGCGTGCACAGTCATTTTGGAATTCGGTTTTGTTCATAAGATGTGGAATTTGCCTTTCCTAAAAGGAAAGATAAGCTGTAGAAAGCAGAATAATGTCTTTTAGGAAAAATATGCCTGATACCTGCTTGCCGATTTGTGAGTCGCAGAGAGGGGAGAAATACCAAGCCACAAAGTTATCCTTTAGAGAGCCGTTGACACCAACTTTGCATCCCAAACCCAAAAGACTGTGTTTTGTTAGTACTGTAGTTCTGCCGCTGTAGATGAACAAATTCTTGTTCCAAACCTCTAGATCCAACGTTTGGATTCGAGGCATCATAAATGTGGCTGTCCCAAACTTGTTGCACCAGCAGCAAAGCCACATGAGAGAAGGACCAAATCTGGGACCTTCCTAGCCCCTCACAGGCCAGAAATCTATCACATTCCGGCTGCCCCCGCCCCCCAAAATTTGTCTCTGATCTACTCTGTGGTAGATGGGTTTTCAGCATCATAACCTTTGCTTCCTCCACCTGCCCAGATGCTGCTGAGTCGGATTTATTTTGGCCAGAGGTGACGATCACTTTCTCATTTAGCCACCGCAGAGTGGGACTCCGGTGCATTTTAAATAAAGATCTGTCTGTCTGTCTTGCCCTGGCAGCCTTCACACATCTGTAGAGGTGCCAAGGGGGGACGTGCAGGTTCAGAAGTGGGTTGGTATTGTTTTGCTGGTGGTCTCTTTCAGGGGGCTTGGAAGCCCCGTGCTGGCGAGCGTGCAAGCGGGTCAGGTGTGTTACTGCGCATCCGTGGGGTCTCCTGGCTGAGCTTCATCTGTCCTCTGAAAAGGCAGGGAGAAGGATGGCTGCCGTCCTTCACTGTAAACCTGGACCAAGTCCATTTTAACATATGTGGTCCAGATTTTTGGACATGAGCAGAGCCTATGTGAAATAAAGCCCATGAGTTGGTTGGTTTGTGGTTTTTTTTAATGTAAGAAAGTAGCAGAGCAAACTTGTGTGTTTGCCCTACCTCTACGCATGACAATAACCATTTTCTTTGACAGATTTAGGGTCTTTTAAAAAAAGCAGGTAACGTGGTTTTCCATGACTTTGTCTTCCTTTACTTCTGGAGCAGAGCTCTTTGCCTTGGACAAGGAAAGGGAAACGTGAGAGTGGGTGGGGGGAAGGAATAGGGAGTCCTTCCTTATGTGTTTAATCCAAATCCTAGGTGGAGTTTTAGCTATTCAACCTTTCTTAACACGTGTGTGTGTCTCCTTGTCGATGTCCCTTCGAGCCCCTCCCTTGGTTTGGTAAAGTTATGTTGTTTCAGTTCTGAAACTACGGCGTGTTTTTCTGGGCTCTTATTTTTAAAGTTAAATGACTGAAAGTGCTGAACTAAAACTTGCTGGTGACACTGACTTTTTACCACCTGAAATTGGCAGTGATCACCAGACCAGAAATGGAAATTGGCAGGTACCACTGGATGTACAGGAGTTCAAGGCCACACCGGTACCATCATGTGCCAGCATTGAGAGGCAATATTAGCCCTTTGGGGATTCAAGGTAAATAAAGGGCTGGGTGAAAGGGAAATGGAGAGTTCAGAAATGGTAGTAGCATAAACCTAATGCTTTGCACTAGTCCTAACAATTTAAGATAAATGTTCTTCTGTTTTTCTTGTTCTGTTTGTTAAGGCTGTAAGGAGTCTAGTTCTTTTGTATGAATGCTTGACGTAAATTTAAATTTGGTTGTTAATGCTTGAAGGACAATGTGGTGAGGGACACCTCCCTTTTAACTGTACTGCCCGATTGCTTCAAAACTGTTTATAGATGCGATGGCGTAGTATGGGTTTTGTATGCAGATGAATCTATCAAACTGATCAGCCACAAATGCAGTAATTGACACTAAAGCAGTGACAGCACGTCTGATTTACTGGTCTCCTACAATATGTTCCCTAGACAATATTCCATGGTTTTGTTTGCATTTTTGTCCCTTGCTAGAAGCAGCAAGTGCTTATGTCAGAGTCTAAAAGAGAATTTCAGCTGAGTCTTTAAAAAAGGTTTGGTGATTCCACATGCCTGTCCTTTCGATATCTGGCTTCAGATCTCAAAAAGATCCTATTTTGTTTTCCTGAAGTTTCATTTTAAGAGTTCCAGGGAATTTAGTTTTGAAGCATCTCAGAAAGGCACCTGAAATCAAGCACACAATTGATTGCATTGGAAAATTCCAGTGTGTCTGAGGGTTAACACAGCAAAAAGGGTATAAATGCTCAGAGATAGCATTTGCAGCTACCCAGCAATCCTCTTCTCTGTATGGAGCTGATTGACTGAAGCCTGCTTGACAGCTTGTTTGCTGGAGATGCCTGCCTCCGCATCAGAGGCTTTAGCAGCAGCTGCAGGGAAATAGTCACCAAAGCTTGCTGCCTAATCCTTCCCTTTCCCATTATATTTTGACACACATTTGTTCTTTGGGATTCAAATGTTTATGGCTTGGGGTGGTGGTGGGGGGGAAGTGTCAAATACTTAGGTTGCAAATGATGATCTCCATCTTTGATATCAATATTCGTTTTGGCCATATTTTACGACAAATTACCTGGGTGACAGACTAAGGGCTGCCAGAAGTCATTCTCAAACTTCAGATCAATGCACGTGAGGTATTTCATACACAGGAGAAATGCTTCAGGAAGGAGCGACAGATTATGACTGCTGCCTTCCTGGGAAGGAGGACACGGAGGGAGCAGGCCAGATGCCTGGTTGTCAGGGTCTTGTGCCCCATCAGCTGTCCCCAGTGATGAGGCACGTCTGTCTGTGCTGGCACGAATGAGGCAGGACGCAGAGGAGACGCAGAGCCTTCTGTCGCAGCAGCTGGGAGTCTGGCACCTAAAATGGTGCTAGAACCCCTTGTTTAGGCAACTGAACCCTATGCAGGCTGCCTTGGGAAGATTCCCAAAATAACATGCAGGTAAATGTGGTGCCTGTCATGGAGGAGTTGAAGATGAAAGGGTTCTTGCTGATGGGGATAAAAAAAAAAACCAAACCAACCAAAAAAAACCCCTACCAACAAAGCCCAGAAATACCCATTCAAGGGAAGGTGGTTTAAATGGCTGCACTTAAAGAAATGAAAAGGTCTCTAGGCAGCAACGAAACAGCTGTGAACAGGTCTTGAGTAAAACCAATCTGCCAGTGATGGATTAGCCACAGTGAAAATACTCGTCTTTGCTCCTTTCCCTTAGATTGGAGGGAAAATGTCACTTAAGCCCCAAGTCACAGCTGTAACGTGCCTCCCTTCAGTCCTGGCATGCAGCTCCCCACTGCTGGGTGCCATTGGCTAGTGTGCTGAGGTGGCCTCTCCGTTTCTTTGAGAAGCCACGTTACTTCTTGGGTGCCTTTGCCACGTGGATATTTCTACTTTGTCTCCTCTGCCAGTGTCCGAATGGACATCGCTAGGAGAGCACCTCGGTGGCACTCCTGGTGGCATCCACCTCTTCCGCCAGGTTTGCATATATGACATGATCTCCCCTCCCCATTTTAAGCTTTAATCTGGCACTTGAGCAACAAGGGAAGATTCAGCGTGGGATATTCACTGCAGTGCTGGAGCCAAGACATCCCCAGAACACCTGCAAGCTTAATGAGCTTTTCAAAACGCCTAAACCAATTTTTTTCCCAGGAAGCAAAGTACCATCTTTTTCTTGAGTAAGAGAAACTTAGCAGTGGTTGTTTAACATGAGCTTAGCTGTAGGCACTCTTCCAGGCTGGGTGGGTGGTGTTTGCTTTATGGGAATTTTTTTTTTTCCCCTCTTAACTTGCTTCCCCCAGATGCTGGGAGGTGTTTCAGCTGCTTTGTGAGCACATAAGGGCATGCAAGTGTGGAGGATCTCACTGAAACAGCCTGTTCCCTTAACTGAAGCAAGCTTAAATTGTGAAAATGGTGTGGTGGGGACTCAACTGGGGAAATACCTGCATGAAGGCTGTTGCAGGGCAAAGGAGATCGGCCGTTGTGGTTCAGGTTTCTTACTGCTCCTCTAGTTCCACAGTTGGGTAAACATCTGGGAAGATGTTGGCATCTTTCGTTATCTCTGGAGAATTTGCCTTCCAAATCTCAGATCCGCCAGGCTGAAATCCCCCCGCACGCTGTTTTTGGCCCTCAGCTCTAGGGAGAGAGAGGTTGTGTTTCTGTTTGCTTCTTTGTAGCTAGGGAGGAGTCAACTGGGGAAGCGGTCAGTAGCGGTGGCTGAAATCCAGTGTCCCTCTTGCTCTCCTGCTGAGTGCTGAAGGCTGATGGAGAGTGAGGTGAGTTACAGCTGCCAGAAAGGCGGAGCTAAGAGTCTCAACTCCAGTCTTCCAGGTAAGATACTCGCCTTTGATTAAAGTAAAGTCAGCTTTAAAAATCATGCCAGCCAAGTACAGGTGGGTCTGGAGGATGGCTCAATCAAGGAAACCCAAATGTCCTCACAGAAGGTTTCACAGCACTGCTGAAGTAGCCCATGGGACTGAAACGCTTAGGTGCTTTTGTGCTCCCCCCAGTGAGCTTGTCTAGACCTTCAGGCAGTTGGATATCGTTGGCAGTCTGCTCATTGCTTCAGCTGTTCTACCTCTTTGACTTGAGTTTGTCCAAAATTATCACCTGGGCTGGGACCTACCGAAGCAGCAGTTCTTGCACGTTGACCCTGCTGAGTGTTTCTCCAAGAAGGCAAATAAAGGTGAAGCGAGGGGAAGGAGGTCAGGGTGAGGGCAGAAAGGAGGAATGTCTTCAGGCACGTCGAGCTGTGAGTTGTTGATATGTCAGCTGAGAGTTACAGCCACAGTTTGGACCAGGGGCTGCCCTTGCTGGGGCAATGTGTTTGAACTTTGAGCTCTGTGTGTCGATGAGCCCTTCTGCATGCTCAGGCTGTGCAGAAGTCCCAAGGGTTATTTCAGATAGTAAAACACTAGAACGAGTCTCCAGGAGGAATAATGCCAAAGCTTCTATCAGTACTGCCTGAGCTATCCCTTATGTGAGAAGTCTCTTTTTAAATCACCAACTTAGGGTTTTTTCTGCAGAAGTAGCTTACAGCTAAAAAAATATCCATCCTTAAAAGGCTTCCCATATAAACCTGTTTGAAGCAAGGCCTTTTCCAAAGTGTACATTAGGTATTTTTCTTCTGCTGTGGTTTCCACTGTTTCGTAGGCCAAAAGTAAAACAAAGAAGATACGAATTAAAGTTCTGTCTGACCTTTATCCAAGAGCAATAAAGCTGGACAAGAGCAATGCTCTCGTCCCCATGTCTCATGGGGCAGCGGCGTTCTTCCCGTGCAGGTCTGACTCCTTGCTCTCACACAGCAAACGCCTGGGATGGGCTCTTGCAATAAGCGTGGATGTAGAGATTCATATTTCATAGATTGCACTGTCTGAAAAAGATGTCTTCGGAACACCTGTGAGCCTAATGAGCCTTGCAGGGGCTGGGAACGATATGGATGGGGACTGTGTGTGTTTCAATAAATTTGAAGAAGCTATATTGGATAAGCCCTGTAAAAGACCATTAAGGTATCTGTCCTTGCATGAAACAGGTTTGATTCCTGTAGTGGGAATGCAAATTTTTTTTTCTATCAGAAGTGCTGGTTTGGGCCTGAGATTTAAAGGAAAAAGGATGGCATGTTTACTTCTGTCTGTTCTTAGAGTCTTCTCTGTGTCATTTAACAGCATCCAGAAGACACAAATCTTGCCTTGGTAAAACAGCCTCTTCCCCAATTTGAATGTCAAGTTTTCTTGATAACCTCTGCAAGGGTGTTTGGGGTTTTTTTGGTTAATCATGTTAAAAAAAAAAATGTGCTTGATTTTAAACCTATGCTTACTGTATTTTTGCTGGAGTTTTCAAGAGTAGCTTGTTATCGTTACTCGTACAGTAGCACAGAGATACTTGGTGCTTTGTGGGTTTAAAAAGGGGTCTGCTAATGGTGCTTCCAGGCTGAGATGCTTGTTCCTAGTATGCACCAGTTCTCTTGTTTTTTTCTGCTCTGGTTGCAGTACAGGAGGCATGAGCAAGGATTTTTAGTTCTCTGCTACACAAGAACATGGAGGCATCTAATGAGGTTTAAAGATGACAGGCTTAAAACTGATAACAGAGAATAAATATCTGCTCAGAAGTGGGGAACTAGCTGTATGACAGTACTGAAACCAAATACTCATATATGTATCAAGAATATCTGGCAAAGTTGCAATTAATGCTGATAACCTTCAAAAGGAGCTATTTATTCTTCAAGTCACTCTTAAGTAGTAGGAATTGGGATGAGACTTACTGGGTGGATCAGACTACCCCAGATCTCACTGCATTTTGCTCAGATGAAGCATCTTGCGCTAGCCACTGTGCAGGATGAGAGTGGTGGTCTTGCTGGGTTTCAGGTCTGATCCTTTGTGGCAGCCCCGATGGCTGTGGTCTCCAACGGTCACGTCTTCTCCATCACAGATCCTGTGCTGGCTGGGAAGGGGTGTTTATTGATTAACAGCTCTGGTAGAGAGGGATTTGAATGCAGGGGGGAGATTATTGATCTGGCTAAAGTACCCTTGCATTAAGTTTTCTGGCTCTCGTG